ACTAGTCAGAATGCAATTAGAGATATCTTAGATTGCTAAAACGAATTTATGTTAAAACGGCTTGCCATAGTAAACATCCATAACCTGCAGACCACCGGCCATCGAGTGCCCACTTTAGACACCTATGCATTGAGGAGTCGATCTGGGACTGTTTTAAAAACTCCAGTGATCAAATCTCCCCTCTGGCTTGCCATCAGCTTTAACGGTACATTTCTTACATTTCAAGTTTTTATTGCTTGGCCTTTTCTTATTTCTGTATGTTCCTCATAATCCCCATACCCATGTCTAAACAACCCGATTTGTGCAAAGGTGACCAAGCTTTCACTGTGACTGTCCGAAAACCACGTAACAGCTTAGACCACATAATCATTCAAATGTCCTTTAAAAACTTATTTATTTTACAAAACTGCATTTTTTGTGTGTGTGTGTGTGTGTGTGTGTGTGTGTGTGTGTGTGTGTGTGTGTTTGTGTATTTATGTTACTGTTAAGCCAAAGAAATGTCTTCCCCTTTGACGATTATGCATATTTTTTCTGTTGAAGCGTGCTACACACAAGCTTTGTCTGCTTCACGGATAAAAAAAAGGTTCATTTTGTTTGGAGGGAACGGATTTGTTTCAGCTAAACTATAAGAGAATAAAATAAAGCGAGGCATTCCTGGCAGCCATGCCGCCCACACACAGACTCAGAGGCTTGGATTGCCAGATCCCATTCTCATACAATTCTGATACAAAGACTTAGATTGTTTCTTTGTTTTATAGCTGGTTTTGTTGCCTGATTATTATATGTTTTTTGTTTTTTTTGCAATGCAATGATGATTACAGGAAAGTTGGACCAAGTCTTTTAGAATTAATTGAATTTCAGCTATAGCTTTCAGATAAATGGGCAGCAGTCATGACAGATGTTTCCCCCTCTATGTGAAATGATTACCTTAGCATTAAAAGTGAATTTTATGCTAGATTTTTATACTATAGTGAAATACAAATGGGCTAAAAAACATAAAAATGATTCCAGATATGTAGTTTTTCCTCATTTTATATCAGTGATCAGAGCTATTGAAATGCCTACAGCATAATCAGTTAAAGTTTGAGATGTGTGCCACCTGCGGCACTAATATAACAGCTGCTGATTTTATGTTTTCATTACTCTGCATTAAGTATAATTTATTAGACTGAGTGCCTGCTGATTCAATGAAATTTAAGTTTGTCAGATGTCTATATGCACTTTATAGAACCATGAATAAAGCATCGACTGTGTGTTTTATGATTCATTTAAATGCTCATTTTACCAGATGAAATGATTGAACACCTGCAGTGTTTCTATAATTTATATCAGGTAAAATGTATATCTACAGGTTCACATCTATTCATACACTCAGCTAAACAACGCCACAGTCTGCTCCCTCCTGGCTAATGATTATGAGGGTAGATTTTACCAGAATGTTTTGACTGAGGTTCCAATAGCTACACATTTCAAACCTTACCTTGTGAACCTACAGATCCAGCTGTGAAGCACAGTGGTGGCAGCATCATGTGTTTGGTAGTTTAAAAGAAAATTTAACATGCTTAGGTAAATTATAAAATGCTTGGTTTGGACAATGATCAATTAAACGTGGTTATAATATCTATAAAGCAGGTCAGCTTTAAAGTTAAAGTGGAGGGTTTTGGCAAATTTTTGAAAATAGCCACCCTCCTCATAAAAAAAAAAATAAAAATGCACATGCATAACCCTGTACCCGATCCAGAGAGGAAACGCCTGTTAAAGGGGTGCAAGAGCATGCACGAGCCTACTGTATTTCTCCTCATGCACACTTTTTTAAAAAGTTGCTGTTTGCACCACTCATACAAGCTTAATTTCTAAAAGAAGATTTGCAATTTTACCACTATGTCAGACTCACTGACGGAAAGGAAAAAATGGGGACAAGCACGTAGGACGGCCTAACGTAAACATATCACCAGAATGATTGACTATTAGGAGGACCACTTATATTGATGATCCACTCAGAACAAGAAGCAGAGTAAATCCTACCTTGTGACTTAAGTCCTTAAAGTCGTAGGGAAGCGGCTGTTTCAACCATTGCATTTCCGAATTCTCCCGAGTTGTGCCCGACTTTACACGAGTGAATAAAGTGAATGTGATTGGTCGTTTATCAAGGGGACGGATTGATGTGGCAGAAGGTTTGCAAGCAAGTTTGGTTGGAAACCTACTAGCAACTTAGTGCTAGTAGGTTTCCAATGGGAAATTCCATTGGGACCAAGTAGCACTAAATTGGTGACTTAGAAACGACACAGTAAAAGAACGCTATGGACAGCAGAAACATGCAAGAGGAGGAGAGTTTAGTGTCGGAGGTCGTGGATGAGTCTCCTCTGCATACATTTTTGATTTAGAGGAGGAAAGCAAGGATGAAGATGTTGTGGAAGAGGACACCAGGGAGGCAAAAGCTTGGTTTGGTGTAGAAGGCTTCCAGCCGTACATGTTTGAGCCCTTGCCTCACAACGCTGCCAGTTCTGTTAGCTCTACGCCTGCTGAAGACACAGACGTCCATCCCCGTGAACACTGGGACGGAACTCAATGGGAAAGGAAATGATTCTTATATCTTATTTCTACCGTTGCGTATATTAACTGCGACATATGAATCAAGATGCTGTGACTGAAAAAATTTGATTGACAGATGACCGTTGCTATATGATTGGTCGAATGTATGTGTACAGGCTGACGTTTAACTAACTGGCCTGCCAAAAGACAAAAAACCCCACAGATATTAAGACAGTATTTTTTTTTTTTAAATACACATTTTCTAAATTTTGGGACAATATCATCTGATAAAGAGTATAATTATATACATGTTTAAGCCTGAAGGATTTGACATTTAAATATGATTTCCCTACAACTTTTAAAATTATCCATCTAATCAAACAAATCACATTTATGCACAAAATGTGTTATTGTAAACTTTTTTAGAGTTTAGGCTATTGCCAAGCTGCTAAATTTAAAACAGATCCTTAATGAGTGACAGCTTAAACAATGTTTTTCTACCCTGGTCCTCACTGTTTGTCAGCTTAAACACACCTCATTCAGATGATTGCTGTTCAGCAAAGCCTGACAATATACTATCAACTGATAGCAAGTGTGTGAAAGCTGGGAAACATCTAAAACATGCAGGGCAGTTTGCCTTTAGGACTAGGGTTAAAAAAAAACTGAGCTAAAAGATGCCAGTTGCACAGTTTAAATCACATTCCCCTAAAACCAGCTCTGATCTACCAACACCTACGGCAGTTTAGCTTGAACTTTGCTCGGGGAAACAACCTGCCAGTAGCCGCATAGGATTCAAGTTCAGTTTAAATTCTCTCTAATCAACCGCTTTATTGACCATACCAGTACGCATCCTGACACTGTAGAAGGAAAGAAGTGTTGGGATCTCAAAACTACAAGTCCTTCTCAAAATATTAGCATGTAGTGATAAAGTTAATTTTTTTCCATAATGTAATCATAAAACTTGAACATTCATATATTTTAGATTCATTGCACACGAACTGAAATTTTTCAGGTCTTTTATTTTCTTAATACGGATGATTTTGGCATACAGCTCATGAAAACCCAATAATGAACTTTATCAGAATATGCTAATAATTTGAGAAGGACCCGTATAACTTAGGATCATTGGGTACCATAGAAACATAGAGCTGAAGGAGGTTTGACAGAATCGATGTTAATGGGATGTAAACATGCTTTTTCAGTGTTTGCCAACAGTCACTGGCTTTTTAATCTTCAGTTAAGCCTCTATAGGTTAAGCATCAACGCATCGTTTTTATAAATTAGCAAAAGACATAAATGTTTAAACGTGGAGAAACAAAGTTACTAATAATCACCAAAAACTACAGCTAGGCTCTAAATTTTAAATCATTAACTAAGACATTCATTTGCTCAGAACTGTCCATTTCTGAAGCTAAGGATGAACGGATGGACGGTTGGACCTGACTGGACTAAAGACAGTGACGGCGCCTCAGGTACCGCACTGCAACTATGGCATAATAACACAGGTGATGGAAGACCAGAATATACTGTATATATATTGCTTATTCTTAATGCACCTTTTTCCTCCTTGTTTGCACCTTCTGTAACTTCTATGCCAATATGTGACGAGTGAATTTCTCCGCTGTGAGATCAATAAAACTCATCTAATCAGAATAAGAAATGCTTCCTGCTCTTCCATGGCTGCTTCTACAAAGAACTGTCCTTCCTGCTTTGCAAAGATCACCATGCTTTAACAGTGCTCAAACAGGCTTTAGTTGCAGACTCGCTGTTGAGTCTGGACAACTATCGCTTCGGCCTTTCTTTCAAAGAAGCTTAGCATAGCTTAGAAATCTGTTTGGACAGACAACCAGCAGATTTCCAACCCTAAATTTCCGCACAAAGGTCTTTGGATTAATGCAGAAGCCTATCGTCCAAAGACAGAAAATCCAGAGAGGATTTACAAAGTGGAAACATTCCTTTTTCTTTTCCTTTCAGTCAGCTGATCACAAGACATTTTGATTTCTTTCTGGCTAAAGCAGGGGTTTGGAGCCACAAGAGGTTCTTTAGACATTGAACCATGACTCTTGATCACTTTGGCTGAAAAACGATGAAGAGCCACAAAATCTTTAAAAAAAAAACAATAAATAAAATGTTCTAAAAAAATGCTGGTTATCATTTTCCCCACTGGCTAACTGTGTTGACTTTCCAAAATAAAGTAACTAAATTTTACAGAAATACATTTCTTTAACTTTCATTTTCTTTAAAAATTCCCCAAAATTTCAGCCACCCATTTTAATTGTATTTATTCCCTTTTAGTTCGTTTTTCTCTTCAATATTAGAACCTAATATTTGAAAAGCGACGCCATAATTTAAAAAAAAAAGGAAAAATCACAGGTGGATATTTATTAAATACAACTCTTCTTTTTCTCAGTCTAAAGTTTGTGGCTTTAAAGAACTTTTTTTTTAAGCTGGATGTTTTCTGGTCACTCCCAATGGAGCTCTTGTATTGAACTTTTGTCTAAAAGCTTTTGAGATTATTTAAACTGTACCTTGTAATCCAGATAACCTCCTCTTTGTTAAAACAGATTAAATTATAATCTGTGGCTAGACATTGATCTCCATGAGTTTATGATGCAGTCAGTTTGTTCTCTGAAGTCAAAACTTCCAATTTCTAAATTAGAAATTCAACTGGAACGCCCCCAGAAAGTCAGGATTACAATTTATAAAGGTGGGCGCACCAGGATGACACCTGACCTCTGCATTCAAGATGGATGCTACTTGCATCAACAGTTTTTACTTTCCAACCAACTGTTTGTAACGGTCATTCTGTTGTATATGCAGCAGTAAATCAATCATTCAGGTGTTTTTTTGTAAGTGTTTACATGACAATATGTTTAAACACAGTGTATATTTTTAGGATACAGCTTCTAACAGCCTTTTTGTCATGGTTATGGTTGGAGCAGGGACCGTAGTGGCCATAGAGAATACCAGGGTCTGCAAGCAAAAAAACTCTTCCGAAAACGCATTTACCTTAGAGATTTTGTTTCCCAAACTCATTAAATTTGTGTCCTGAGAAAGGAAAGGAAACAAGGGAAATGAAAGGAAAGGAAAGACACGGAAAGGAAAGAAAAGAAGAGAAAGGAATAAAGTGAGAATGGAATAAATAGAAGGGAAAAGAAAGGCAAGACAAGGCAAGGAATTAAAAAAAGAAAAAGAACCTGGAACCATATGGATGGATTTAGCAAGGTGTGATGGCTTGATAAATGAATGGATGAAAAGATGGACGAATGGATGAACATACTGACAGACCAGTATGCAAAGGAACCAACTAAAGGATGGATGGAAGGACAGATGCATTGATGAACAGAAACTTGCATCTAATGTGCATTTTTTATCTACTGGTTAGACCAGCTGATCTTCAGAAATTCATTTTAATTTCCAGTGTTTTTAGAACCAAAGTCTATAAATACTAATGTTGTTTTTATATCCTTTGTTGCACCTCGAAAATACTTTGAATTCGACCTGTAAGAACCCCAGACATGTTTTAATCTCACTAGGTTTCATATCTGTGTACCGTGAGAGATGTGAGGATGGCGCCTGATTGATATTCAAGCCCAGTTTGTTTTTTCCCTCCCTTCCTGCAACCTGGCCCGCGTCTGTCTGCTCATTCCCACATCAATCAATCTGAGAGTCAGCTCAGAGGTAAAACACACAGATGGAGATGGAAGTGAAGAGATAGAGGAGGAAATAAACAGGAGGGGAGGGTGAAAGATAAACATAAAGACTGAAGATAGAGAAAGGGATAAAGTGACTGAGCTCTACAGGTTTGTCTCCTGATAACACAGAGGAGTGCAGCGACAGAGCAGGACCATCGATCTGCATGCTCGGGCGGAGCGATGTGTAAACTCCGACATGAGGAGTCAAACGCAGCACTCCCTGTGAGGACTAACAGTCGTTCTGACAGCTCAGGGGAACTGTGAGCACACAGAGCAGTAATTATTAGATGTTCATGCACTGGGAGGTGAAGGGAAGCCAAAGGTGGAACATTGAGAGGGAGAGAGAGTTCCCGACTTACCACTTCACGGGGAAGGAAAGCGTCCTCCTGGCGTAGAACCAGCAGCCCCACTGCCCCACCCATAGGCGTGTTCCTGAGCAACGACACCACCTCCTCCTGGGTCCGTCCATTCAGGTCCACCCCATTTACCTGGGCAAGACACAGTGACTGAGGTCAACTCACAATCAACCGCGGATTCAAGGAACTTAAAGAGAAACTTATGATGAGAGGTTTTCCTCTGCTTGATTTGTCCCATTTCCCTGCTATATTTATCTGTAAATGTAAAGGGATTAGGGCAGGGTAAAAAAATCGATTCCTTTACATTTTTGCAAAATCGATGTCTAGGGAATGAGATCGAGTCATTTTATAGTGATTTGTGTGACATTCACATTCAAATGAGCAGGAAAGATGCACTCAAGATGACTTCAAGCCAGACAGCTGCAAATATAGCAAATAGGTTGATTGAATACATTAATAAATGGGGGCTGACAAGCAAACACTCTGTAGTTGTTACAGACAATGCTGCACATATGGTTTGTGCAGCGGAGATAATGCAGCTCATGCATGTCTGCTGTGTCCCTGCTGTGTCAAGTCTGCTTGCTCGAGTGAGGCTTCACTTTTTCACTTTTCACAAACAAGTTTGCACTTATGAGTTTTGTTCACATCTCAAGTTTAAACTGTCTGATTTACAAGTTTACACTTTGTGTTTAATGTGACAGGAAGGAAAACAAAATACATGAGTATTTTGAAACACAGTTGAACCACTTTTATTATTGTAGAAGCAGATCGAATCGAAATTAATCTATTTAGAAGTGTAGGAATCAAAATGGAATAAATTCAGGACTTTGGCGAAAATACCCAGCCCTAAAAGGGATGGATAGACGGACAGAATTACCAACTGATGGATGACTTGAGCTGATGGTGGAAGATTAGACATGGCCGGCTAAACGATTGCATGGATGGATAGACAGATAAAAGCTAATCTACAGACCAAAGTTAAAAAATAGGAAAGGTGATAAACGGATAAAAATAAAACATTGGGGTTTAACTTTTGTTATTGAATGATTTAGGATTGAATGATAAATAACCTTGTTCAAAATGCGTCGTTACACTGTCATTACACTATCATAACACTGTTACATTCTAGAAACTTAATAGGGTGAACAATCTGGTTCTGATTATTATCATTTATAAAGGAAATCTAATAAAACTGCTGATTATGTCAACCATCTGTTCTTACTTATTCTTAGACTACATGCCAGAGAGCAAAGCATAAATTCAACAAGAAATATCCCCCTTTTTAAAAAAAAAGAACCAATCAGAGGCTGAAACAGAAGCTGAAATAAAGTACATCTGAAAGAGGGTACTGGCATAACACTTTTAGGATGAAGAGTTTTCAAAACAGCAAAATCAAAGTTTGTCTATTTTTTTATCCATCTTGTAGTTTGGTTTTCAGATTTAGTTGATGAGATGAGCTTGTGACTGGAGACAGAAGTTCTGGGCCTCACGGTGTAATGATTCCTTATGCTAATGACTTGCAAAGAGAAATGATGCAATGTCAAACGATGTTCCCTTATTGCAGCACAAGAGTTTTGGATCGTGCTCTTTGATTTCTGAACAGGAGGAAGAATTTCCATATCAAAAACAGGAAACTTTAATTAACAGGCTACACTTTGAAATAAAACAGATGGCAGGCACGTTTGACTGATAAGACGGTTCAACACTAAGAAATGCATGTCGCATATTAGGGCTTAACATTTATGCTACAACATGAAAAGGAATTCTGCAAACAGCACTGCATGCTTGCCATCTTACCTCCAGCAGCCGGTCTCCCGCCTTAAGCCGGCCATCTTGGATGGCGGCTCCGCGAGGAAGTATGTTCTTGACGTAGATTGGAGCAGAACCCCCGATGGGAACGTCACGTGAGGTTATGCTGAAGCCGAGTCCTTCAGGGCCTTTACGTAAAAACAAAAGACAGGATGACAGACAGTTTTATGGTTTGATCTTCAGGAAAGCTTGTAAGAGAGCATTAAGATCCAACTGGCAGAGTTGTGAACAAAACTGATGTAAGAGGGGGAAACAGCGGCAGCGAATGTGTATGGGGATGAATTTAGCTCCGAATGAGAGGGAGAACATATGTATCTGAGTAATTACATCATATGTTTACAGGAAATAACAGCAGTGAGAGTTAGAGGGGCTGCAGCATATGCTTAAATTGACATATCTAAAGAGTTAACAGATTTATTCCTTCATTTAACACTTGTATTCAAATAAAAAGCTTCTGTTTTTAGGGATGCATCTTCATTACTGTAATAAGTCTTGACAGGGATGATAGTCTAAGCGGAAAAGCAACATCTACAATAGATCACACCATGGAAATTACTGCTGAAAAGGAAAAGAAAAGGAGGAAGTAGGGAAGGTAGGAAAGTACAGGAGAGGAGCCAAGACAAGGAACAAAGGAATGAGGGAAATAATAGAAAGTAGGATCTCAAAAAACGAACAAAAGAATAAGGAAAGGAGCATGGAAGGACATGAGGAAGGAGGGATGAACAAACAATAAAAAAAGGAAAGAATGAAGGTAGAACACAAGGGAAGGAAGGAAGGGCACAGGGAAATCGGTACAGAAGCAAGGGAAGGAAGAGAAAGGACAATAATGAAACAAGGTAAGGAGGATGCAAGATATAAAAGATAAAGAGAACAGGAAAGTATTAAAATATGCTGACTTTTAGACTGAGTGGGAATCCAGCTAACAGGATTAGCAGAATTGTAAGAATTTAAAATTTGGATCATTCATAAGCTAACATTTTTGGACTAATGTTGACAGTGAGGACCCTAACTGGACCGCAACCAGTTGAAAAAACATGGAGAAAATGCATTTTCTATGAGAAAGTTTTGGGTTTGATTCCTGGCATGGAGTTAACATGTTCTCTCCGTGCATGCATAGATTAACTCCGGGTGCTCCGGCTTCCTCCCACAGTTCATAAAGATGGCTATTAGGTTAATTGGCTCCTCTAAACTGTCCTTAGGTGTGAGTGTGTGTATGGATGGTTGTATGTCCCTGTTGCCCAGCGACAGACTGGCGACCTGTCTAAGGTGTATCCTTCTCTCCCGTAGACTGCCAGAGATGGGCAGTCTAGGGATAGATGGATGGAAAATGACAACAAAAAACATTTTTCTTTACAATTTAACATAATAAATGCAACTCTGGCAATATGTCTAATAGCATACTTGGTGCAGAGAAGAACTGTTGGTTTAAATCCGACTATTAGGGACCTAAAAGGGAATCTTTTTTCTATTTTTTGTTAAAAAATTGACTAAATTTAAGCAATCAATGCTTGGAACTTCTGCAATTTATTTTCTGTACACTGCATGTCTTCACAGTTTAAAGACAAATTATTTTTTCTGCAATTAAAGGCATTTTTTTGTGTGTAGTTTGCATGCAATAACATGTGTTCCATTACATCCATTTGCACCAACTAAACAAAGATCTATAAAATCTATCACCCTGCAAAATGAGCAATGGTCTCAGATGAAGCTGTGAAAACGTATTGTTTAAAGAAGTGAGCATGAGACTCAGTGCATCAGAGTGCTGTCCTTAATCCAACAACAGTAGAACACATTACCATGCTGTTTCACATCCTCAAACTAATCCCCCACATTGATGAGCAATCAGCTTCCCGCAGGCAGACGAGAACCGTTGGTTTCTTCCTCCGGTAAACGTTGGCATGAAGCAAGTGGGAGGATCTTTAAGACTCGTTACCATGATTAGGACACACCTAAGCAGTTTCCAGGACTCCTTAATGGATTTTGATACTCTGCATAAGTTACAACAAGACTGTTGTCTGATTTGAGGCTGTAAACAACACAGGAATTCAATCTGCGCTCAAAGCTTTGGGCTTAAATCGGCACTTAGAACAAAATGAGAGGAGCCAAACCAGCTCTTGGGAGCCGCTGTTAATCCCTGCAAATGTCTGCTTTACTAACAGCAGACAAAAGAGAGGAGTGACAACAGATAGTAACTCTAATCTCACTGTATGTGCTGAAAGTTGCAAATCAAAGAAATGAGAGCAAGAATGAAAATGCTGAGGCTAAAGATGTTGCTTAGGATGCAACAAACACCTGGTTGGTTTTAATTTAATCTTTGATAGTCTGGATTAATTCCAGTCTGATAAGACCCGACAGAATTGGGTGAGAATTTCCATGACACATGATGCAGGACCGTCGACTCCATTCAGGGGCCAGCAGCTGCTTGGCACCCAGCTTTCTGGCGCTAACACCTGGAGTCCTTCTGGCTGAAGATCAAACCACCAGACCCAGCTGTCACTCAAACCAACACTGGAGAGATCTTCAGAAACCATCAGTCCTGTCCTAGACCTGTTTGTTTCATGTTCCAGGTTCCAGAGGTTTGCATGAACGGGTCTCAGCTTCACAACAGCTGGAAAATCCTCACTGTTCTCTAGGTTCTCCTGACAGGTTCTTTGCATGATTGTTTTAGACGCTCCAAAAAGGATAAAGTTGCTTCTTTATTAAGAAACAAACCATCAAAACTAGCGATTGTTATGCAAAGTGGTTAATCTGTTGATTATTTCTTCTACATAAATAATCGCCTAGCAAAAGGTTCATTAAATACGATTTTTTTTTTTACGAAATTCAACCAGGAGAACTACGACTTTTCAACTTGAGAAGATCTGGATGGAGCATATTGGCAGATGAAAATGCTTTTATTATTTTAAATGCAAAATGTTTATTTTATTTCATTCTTTCTTTACATTCTTGATACTGTTATAAGTATGTTGCTCTTTAAGCTAAAGCAGTGCTTCTCAATTATTCTCTGTTACGCCCCCCCCAGCATCTCTGCATAACATTTTATCCTTATTAACATTAAAGAAAAGAAAAAAAAAGACATATGGCGAAACTTACAAAGAATAACTTTATTAAATAGTGTTTTAAGTCTGCAACAGAAAAGAAGTGTATCAATGCCTGAAATTACAAATAAATAAATCCTTGTTTAAACAATATTCAGCACGTTTTCGCTGAAAAAAACTCTAGCGGCTTATCGGCGTGATTGGGGTGTAACGTATTTAAGTGACACGCTAATTTATTTGGCTTCATGCTGTCCGCTGCAAACGTTTTGAGACACACCAAACACATCGGTCTTTCCTCTTCTCTAACTGTAACACAGTGAAGCCAAGCGCTAAATACGCTTCATCGTATTTCCTCGTCTTAGCTTTCGAGTTATTTTCTTTTGTCTCATCATCTCTGTCTCTCTCCGCTTATTTTTTTTAATCCCTGTTAAAGACTTTTTCATGTTGGGGGTTGTTATGTTGAATAACGGAGGCTATAGACAGAACGCAGTGGGAGCTTTCTGTTGACTCAACACTGCTAACCAAGGCAAACCTGTTGTCTCGTAAGTCATAAAATGTTGCACTGTCACAAACGTGACAGAAGTAACAATGAGAGCGCCACTGCCCCCTACTGTAGTGGATGCGCAATAACACTTCATACTAGTACGGCCAAAAATTTGCACTATTTGAGAAGCACTGAGCTAAAGGCATAGTTTACAGTCTCTACACTCCAGTTAACGAATAATCAAATACTTAATTGACGATTATTGCAATAATCTATTAATCATGATTAATCCAATTAGTTGTTTCAGTCCTAGTCAGAACAAAGATGTAACAGTTATGCTGCTACTTTAAAACAATACATAATAGGCTTCCAGTAACTGAATAACATGGGGTAACAAAAAAAACAGACCGCTGCTGCTCTGGGGTGAAATCACAGTCGAAGAGTTCAATTCATTAGGAAACGGAGTTCTACCTAAAAAGTCAATTTATGGTTATCCCCTTATAATGAGAGCCTACAGAGCTAAGTTAAAACTGATGGTAGAAGCACAGAAACCACCAGTTGTTTGATATGTGCACTGGTAAAATGGTGACATCACAGCCTGGAACGACGATTACAGCACTTAGAGATGAGGATTTCGCTGTCAAAAAAACTTTTAACTGAAATCAACATCTTCTTTAAATGTTTTGATAATCCTGTGGATATTTTCCAGGATAATCTTAACATTAATTCTTGATCAATGTATTTTCCAAATACATGAAATCTTCGAACGTCATCCTGCAGATTTTCACCTCACCTTTCTTAAGCTGAATGTTGAGCCTCCTCCCCACTTTTTTCATATATCCCGTCGTTGGCGTGGAGTTCAGCGCCCTCTGAGGTGAGTGGGTGTGGCCTGTGGGAGGTTTGGCAGCGGAGACAGCAGGGTGGGTCAAATGTGGATACCCATTGTTTGGGTCTGGGTGGGTGTGGGTGGCAGGATGAGGGTGGGTTTGGGAACCGTGGCGTGTTATCCTCTGTGAGCTGTGGTCGACTCCTGATAGGGAGTCTGGACTAAAGCGTCCAGAATGGAAAGAAGGGTTCCTCTCTGCATGTGAGAGCTGCTCGTAGTGGGCCCTCAGGGAGGACGGGACCACGTGGAACATGATCACAGGAGAACGCATGGCCTGGCGGAACATATTCTGTGCTCTAGAACAAAAACAGACAAATGGAGAAAGTGTAATTTTCAATATGAAAGGAGCATCACATACTCATCCAAAGTTAATCACACAGAGCACATTTATAATTGCCTAAGCATCGTTGCTTGGTGAAGCACTCCACCTACCAGATGTCCATCTTCGCCCACCTGGACAGTCTGACAAGTTAATTAACACTTATTTCCAACGCAAGCCGCTCTAAAAAGAAACTGAACCCACCCAGACTCCTCCACCACATAATCTTCCCATTTGGCTGCAGATGAAGGAGGCCGCTATGCGTCGACTTGTTCACAGAAAATCCTCTTTAAAGCCCCTTCAGAGCGGGCCCTTCCACAGAAGGTGTGAGTGGAAACTTGTTTTTCCTTGTTAGCACCACCTGTTTCAGTGCAGCACACCCTGACAGCTGAGCGGGCGTTTGGAAAAACCAAAAGGCTCCAGAATTTAAAATGCCTCCCTCCCTTCAGCCCGCGGACTAACAGCTAAAAAATGCAGAATTTCTTTAGGCCCCATTTTTCCAGTTGCTAATAATATTCCCTGCAGAGGAATCCTGCTACGGCATCTTTAAAATGTTTGGCTTCTGAAATCGAGTGCCAGACAGGATGTAATATCCAATGTGCCTCCATAAAAATGTCTTTTAATACCAAGGATAACTGCTGCTCTTGTAAAGTGCCTGGAAGGTTTATTCCTCACCTATTCTGCAAAGGTTATGTTTCAGAGGCCGGGCAGCAGGCTTTGACATAACAGGAACAATAAGGATTCAATTACTTTTTGTTCTAAAGCCAAAAGACACCAGCGTTATGCAAAAGGCTCAAGTCATCATGTGTTATTGCTCTACCACCTTTTAGCAATCAGGCTTTTTCACAATTTTAAGCCAGGTCCTCAAATTTTTGTTGAAGGTTGTATAAAGTTTTGCTTTTAATGTTCATTTCAGTTTTTTTAATATAAATATAACTTTTTTTAGAAAGAAAGTTACCCTGTAAATCCTAAAATAGGGGACTGAATTCCTGTAACGTCCAGACAAATTCTAGAAGAGATGTTTTTTTTATTAGAGTATCACTAGTATCCTGTATTTATATTACAATAACTTGTAGGTTCTTTGACATTAATCTGCAATTTACCCATAGGTAGCATGCTTTAGTTCTGGATATCTGCATTTAAGTTCATGAAATTGGCCTGCAATTTCTGGGAGAGGAGACTTTATGTATTTAGGCAAGTTCTAGAAAGTAACAGGTTAGCTCCTTGAATTTGATCTTTAATTTATAAATAACCTGCAATGTTCTAAAAATAACTACAAGCTTTAGTTAGATTCTGGAAGGTGATCTGTTATTTCAATTAAAATAATCTTTAAAGTAATGACAAAGTAACGTCTACGTTTTAGGCAAGTTCCTGGAAAGTGATCAGCAATCTCCATCAAAGGAACCATTAAATTGTGATGAAGTTTTTGAAAGTAAAATGAAAGGAAGTAACCACTTGGTGAGTTCTAAAAATTAGCATGCAAGCTCGCTGAAAGCAACCTGAAGATTTGACAAAAGTAAGTTTTAGGTAGCTTATGGAAAGTAGTTGCATTCACTATATAAGAACCCTACAGCTTCTTCAAAAGTTCGAAAAATAAAAAGGAAGATTTATGATAGTAGCATGCAAGTGCTGCAAAGCTGACCTTAGTCCTGACCAGTTAAACCTGAACTCTCCAGAAAGATGTAGAGAAACTTCCTTCAGGTTGAGGGAAATAGAGGCTGCATTAGTTGTTGCTGCTACATCCTTTCTCATTGATATGCAACTTATCAGATGACCAATAGTGATGTGATATTTCAATCATTTCCAATATCTCTAATAAAGTTTTTCTTTTTTTTTTTCTATTTCATAAAATAGAATTTTAGATACTTGTGGCTGCCGTAATAGTTATTTTCTCTTAAAGCCGGACTTACAGTAAAACTTTTGGACAGAACTTCAACTGTAACGGGAGAGGCTACTTTCTTTAGATGAGTTTCTAGAAGCTTTTATACCCAACTGAGACGGTGCGTAAACTTAAAAGCATTCCTGTATCAAAAATGAAAAAAATTTTTTTTGAGAACTTGTTTTAAATAATATATAAAAATGTATAGCTATAGGGGTTTTTTTATGTTTATAATCAAGGGCCTTTAAACTAGGTTAAACAAGGTTTTTTCAGTAGCTACCAGATCCTTTGTGAAAATGACAGCTCTAACCCGGAAAAATTAAATCAAAGTAAAAGTATCTAAAACAGTTAGTTGAGAAAAAAACACAAGAACACACAGCAGTGATGAGCGGCAAGTATAAACGTTAAATAGTCTTCATGTTGAGGAATAAGGAAAGTGTTAAAACAGGAATCCAGCACAGTAGAAACACGCAAAGACACAAAGCTGAGAGGATTTCAGGGTTGGCATCAACAGTTAGGAGCTGGGACCTACAGGAGTTAAACTAGGGAGGGTTAGCTTAGCACTGGGGTGGACATCAGAGGAGCCTGGCAGGAGAGCAGAGAGTGTTAAAGAAACCAGGAGTAAGGCAGCGGATTACAGTGAGGAAGCTGGTTTAGGAAAGTAGGAAAGACGTGATGGAAGAGGCCCAGAAAACTCAGCCACACAGGGACATCCTCAGCGTGCCGTCTTACTGTTCGAATCGGATGTTTCTCAGATCTCCGTTATTAATACGAATGATGCAGTCGTTCTCCTGGAAAAGGCCCTGGTGTTCAGCCTTCCCTCCCCTCTCCAGACGCTTGACCAACAAGCCAAGAGTCCTGAAAGGTTTAAAAGTTCAAATCAAAGATCCAGCATGGAATTAAACCAGAAAAGAAAAAGAAAACCAGCTGCAATCATCATCAATCAAAAAAAGAAAAAGAATAATCTGGGCTTTAACAACTCCTAAAATGATTTAAACTAACATCAAAATGATAAAAGGCTCCCAGTGTCATGAGTCAATGGTTAGATTAAAACAAAATGGTGACGGCAGGTGATGAATAAACAAAACAGCCCACATTTAAACAGCTTGTAGAAGCAGCTTTTTTCTGTAAAAACTAATTATTTCATATCAGCTTTCTTTCCAAAAAATAAAAAATAAAAAAAACAATCCACTGGACTTTGTTTCCAAGTTTTAAGACGTTTTGCTTCCCATCCAGGAAGCATTTTCAATTCAAAATGTCAGGAAAAGCGTTGAGTTTGAGATTCCTGACATTTTGAATTGAAAAGGCTTCCTGGATGGGAAGTTAAACTATTCAAACCTGGAAGCAAAATCCGATGGATTGTTTTTACTTTTTTTTTGGAATGACTATGACCTGCATGACTGAGAATCTTCACCAGCATCAAGTTTCTTTCAATTAATTGTATCATAAAGCTTCAGTGAAATAACGTTTGCCAGCTGATCTTTGGTAGATCTGCTTCTGTTTGGATAAAATCATAATTCCTACAAACGTCCTGATATGTGCACACAGCTGAAGCATATCAAGTTCTTTAGGCTTAAAATAAGCTCAAATCATTGGGTTGGTTTTGATAAGTGTCCTTCGGTTTTCTCCAAATATGGGGCTGTTGGTCTTTATCCATCAAAGGACCTGATTCCAGCGGTTCATACTGTCAGATTTTAGACTTTTCCCAGAAAAGCCATTGCTAATATTTAACCCACACCTGTATATTCTGGTTTACTGATATCTGAAACCTCATGAAATATTCCCTCGAGAAAAATAGAAGCTGTATAAATTTGTTCAGGTTTATAGATTTTCCCACCTGGTAGTTAAGGTAATCATTGTTCTAGATAATGGACCTAACCCGAACTAATGACCTGCAAAGGTTTCTTCTCTGAGGTCATTGATGTCTTTCCACCTTGGCGTTGTGTTCTGGCAGATCTTTACATTCCAGATAATTCATTTAACCGAAGGGTCTCTGATCATTAGCTTAGAGCTGCCCTGTTCCTACTTAAATATTAGCGAGGCAGTAAGGGTGCAGGTACTTTTTAAGAAGACATTTGTTTCTGGTTTGTCGTTATTTGCTAAATATTCACATTTTGAGGAGTGTCTTTTGCTTAGATGCCGCTAAAATGAAGACGACTGCATAAAAGAGGTTAGCATTTATTTAATTTTCTTTAAAGCTCTTTATTTTTCCTTTTTTTTTTTTTTTACAGATGAAACTACTGAAGGAAACATGGCCGTCAGACCAACATTAGGCTAGGATGCATAAGTCTGCAACCTGGGCAGTAGCTCTCCTGGCAGTTTCCTTAATCCTCTGTTACTCTGCTCACCAATGTGGGATCCATTTGGTTCTAGGTGTTATAAACCCTCCTAACATCATTTTGCATGGATATAAATTGAATTGAGGGAAGCCATAGTGAGCTGACATGGTGGCTGAAGTCAAAAATGGCTTATGTCTCCCCATAAAGACAGCCCCAGAGGCTGAATCCACCTGAAAAGACACACTGAGGATTACTGACCGCAGCCTGAGGAGGAAAAATCCAGCTGGCTTTCCTCCTTGGCTAATTGCATATTTTTTCTAATATTACTGGTTTATATTTGTGAGTGCAGAGTTCTCTTAAGGTACCGTGGGCCTGCAGGTAAATTAGGTTGATTTCAAGCATTTGCCTCCGGCTTTCATAGCAATCCGAATATGAAATGTGATTACACTGAGGACACAGTGGGGAAAAAACAGAGTGCAGGAGTCTAAAAAGTTCAGAGGAGATTTGGTCGATTGAATCGGAGGAAGAAACACAATGCGATTTGCAGAAGAGGAGGAGAGGCCATTCCTCTGATGAAAGCCAGGCTTCTTAATCTTACTGCAACGCTTGAAATGACGTTTCCCCCAATAAAAGAAAAGTGCATTATAAATATGCTTTTAGGTTGATTAAGTTGAGCTCGGACCATATGCTTTGATTTTGAAGAGAGTTTGGACTCTGCGAGGGTTTTTAGTGAGTTTATGGAGCAGATTCATGCTCAGATGGTTTATGGACTTACAGGATTGTTTGTGTAAAATATAGCGAGATCAAAGGAGGTTTCTGTACTTTTTACATCTTTCCAATAATGGCGACACCCTTTATGTGTGACCTTGAGTCATATGGAATAGGGAAACGAGTCGGAAAATATTAATATGGCTGTAAAATTCCAGAATTTTCCATGCTAGACAGGAATCTTTAAGACTTTTTTTCCTCTAACCTGCAAATATCTGCAGCTCCTCTGGCTGCATGTATCTAAGCCAGATGTCACATTCCTTTTAATTCTCCCACAGCTTCGCTCCATGTGTGTTCTCGGGAAGCTGCGTGCTTTTATGTCGTCCAGGCTGCTGGGTTTGTTTTTGAAGGAGGTAAAAACCATGTGCCAGCCACCATGGAGGAATACGATGGTCGTCTGCAGACCCAAACCACCTCAACTGATCACTGTAAACTGGCAAATGGCTTCACCATGAGCCTGGATACGTGTGTGTGGGTTTGTGTGCATATGGATGGATTTAGAGGAGGAGGAATGTCTGGTATGCATGGGTATTTATATATTTGGTGTAGGGTCTGATGTGATCCAGAACAGGTTATGTTACACAAAGAAAACAATGGTATGAAAGAAGAGAGGGGGGCACTGATGCGGTTAGATCAGAGACAAATTGGCTCATGTAGCATAAAACAACCTAAACATGTGATATATATGCAGCCTTTATGAGGAGTTTGATCATTTAGAGAGTCTTTATGAATGTGCTGTGACTGTGGGCACGGTGTCTGGCTTCACTGTGAAATGCAGCCCTGCTGCGGTTATTTTTACCTGCGGTCCCTGCCACTGAAAGGCACCACGTGGATCCCCAGGGGCCCGCCGTCGTTTGACACCTCCACCACTTTGACAATGTCTCTGGGAGACAGGTGGATGACAGAGACAAAGGGGAGTGTGGATGGAGAGGAGACACCATGTGGATAAAAAACAAAAGAAATAAGGGAGCAGGAAAAAAAGAAAAGAAAAAAATTATAATTAAACAAAAAGAAAGAAAGGCTCCAAGCTATTTCAATCCTTTGCTAATTTGCATCCCCCTCCTATACCTACTTGTTACCATTAAAACCCAACTTATCTCGACTTTCTACACATAAATTTACATTTCTTAGTGATTTTTTTTTTATTTTTTATCGATGCAAAGTTCTTATGCTTCAAAGTTTTTATGGACAGATTTGTTGTAATTCTATAAAATAATGTTTCTGTTGTGTTTGCAAAAATATATTTGATGGTGCCAATCCTAATGTTAATAAAGATAAGTCAAAGTCATAAACTAACATTTTAATTCTCATGAGTTTAAAAATGATTAGTTTATGGTTATAGGATATAATTATCATCGAAATTCTGAAACTGACTTCATTATTAAATTATTTCAAATATATTGATGACTAATGTATTTTTATTTACCTATTTAAAGTACAACTATCATAAAAAAGTAACTTTGTTTTATTTCCAAATCCAAAGACACTGTGCTATATAACTGAGGGAAGACTTGGGACACCAAAACCCTGTATTGGTTAGTGCTCCCCGCCCCGTTGACCTGCTGTTAACCTCATTGACCCTGAAAAAGCCACAGTCAGGTTCTTCTTCTGACCATCAAGCACATCTAACATAAATCTGTGGAAAGCTTCCACTCCTCCTTACTTTATATTGGGGGATGTTTTAGAGGTTTCTTGCATGCAGGCATATTTTCAGCCACCCTTACAGCATCTCTGTCAGACCCAGACTTTCCATTTCTTGATTTGCAGCCAATCTCTGCAGGGTTTAGTGATTTGTTTTCAATTCTTGTCATGTTTAAAGTTCAAATATTGGAGCAGTGCTGCTCCAGTGATGAAGGATAGAAAGAAAAACCATCACCATGTCATCCAATTGTTAAACATTTTGAACACTTGCTCCTTCCTCTCTCCATAAGGGCTCAAGACATTTTCAAAGTATTTCATCTTTGGGTTCTCTTACTTCGCCTTCCCTGTTCTTTATATTCCATCCCCTCGTCCTGCTTTTTGTACCCAGAAACTTGAAATGCACTGTAATCACATCACGAGCTGATCTCCTCTGGGTGCTTTCTGTGATTTAAAATGGGTCCCAAGTTTTTATTGTGAAAGCACAGACATTTTCTTCAGGTATCTTTCAGTTATGGCAGAATCCAAGCTGGTTTAATCTTTGGTGCAGAGACTGTTTTCTTAAATTATCCTCACAAACAAATGAATTTTCATTTAATTTTATTTTTTACAGAACTTTCTTTTCTTTTGGGGGGTTTTGTTGCTTTCTATTCTACCTCAGTTATTCAGCTGAAATTAAATATCTACGTATATGTTTAATTATTTAATAATAAAGGACATTAGTATTCTAATATTTACCCATTATGTATGCTGATAAATTGTTGTTACCATTTCAACTGTTTGAATCTCATTTTCAGAACTAAATTGTATTCTCAGATTTTTTTTTTTTTTTTTCATATAATGGCAGATATGATCCATATTAGTTCCCATCAGTCGGGTATAAAAGGGGGAAGGGCTGAATTAACCCAGAGCCTCATTAAATGTAAACAGAAAAACAGAACATTTTAAAAAGAAGACATATAAAAAAAAACTGAAATAAATATTGATGGGAAAAAAAAGGCATGTGGAATTTTACACAACAAACCAATACCTTTTAGGGACACGAACAAATAATCTATAAATGGCAAAAAAGTTTCTAAATTCCAATAAAATAATGTGTAAAAGCCTTTATATTATATTGCATTAGTTCTTAGACACCACAGCCTTTCAACAGACTTTAGACTTGGTCTTAAAGCTTCTCCAGATTTACTGAATATATATATATATATATATATATATATATATATATATATATTTAGGATGCTTTTTCACCTTTTTCCATTGCCTTTTTTAGCCCACACTACAAATACTGCATTCTGATGTGCAACAGCTGGACTGAAAATGAGTAAATAGTAAAAGTCTAACTAAAAACTTTAAAAGCTCTTCAGAAAGCCAAAAGAAATCACAAGGTTGACTGAAAAAGTGAAACTAATGAGTGGTTTAAAATTTCAGCAAAGTCCTTTAGAAGTTTAACCTGCTCTTAACTTGTCACTATGCCTTATATAAGGTAGGGAACCTTGTTGAATTGATCCTGGGGTGCAAAATGAGTTCCCTGAGGATAAATCTGACTTCCTCTGCTGAAAGAAAAGCAGTAAAAACTTCCTGACAGGATGTGGGATCAACTCATAAGCTTGCTTTCAGTGCATGTAGTTGAAATGTAGACCTTTCCTCTGAGAGGATCTGCAGTTAACGCTTTATAATGGCGTGATTGTGCATCCCCTTAGAGGCCTAATGGCTTCTTTTATCACCACATTTAGAGACTTTTAGTCTAATTTTCTCAATGGTAGCAGATAATAAAAACACCACAAAGCAACCAACACAATGTAGAACAGTAGCTTATTCTTCACCGATGTTATTATTTAGGAAGCAACCAGCTGGAAACGCAAGAGAAGAAGTGGAAGCAGACTTTATTTTGCCACCCAGAAACATTGTTGCCTGTGCAGAATGCATGTACTGGAAGTGACATAAGCTGACCCTTTAAATGTATGTAAAGACAACAAAATGGTTCTCGCTTTGTTGTTTTTTTTTTCCTTCTCAGCTGTTTTCTTGGCTGTGAAACATGCACACTCTGGCATATTTTAAGGAGCCGCCACATCTAATCCGCTCACAGCTTAGATGCGATGGCTGTGATTAGCTCGGGGAGGAAAAAGGCCCCCTTGTTGACAGCTAAGAAGGCGGGAGAAAGCCAGACTCTCACCGAAATCACAGGAATAACAACACCATACCTGCATATTAAGCTGGAGGCATGCAACAGAGCAAAATAACAAAACAAAGCACAGTTGTTAATAACAGGAGCAGAGCAGGTTAGTGCGTGGGAGAGCTCTGACGGCGAGATGAGGATCATTCTGCTCCCACAAAAGATAATTATGTAAATCAGGAAGCAGGCAAAAAAAAAAAAAAAAAGATTTAGCATAAACAAGCCTGGACTGCGACACACAACCTGCTGCATGTAGCTTTTCACAGATGATTAAGTGTCAAAAGAGGTAAACTTATTTCTCCTTCATGGTACAAACTGGAAACAAACCTGTGCTAAATTATCGTACGACTTTCAGAGAAAAGCAAACGCTGTTAAGCCATACATTCATGTTTTTATCTTTTACCCATAATGGGCCTCTGGGTTTAAGAGAAGCTGCATCTTTTCTAGGCCTGAAGCAATTAATTGAATTAACCAGTTGGTGAGATTCTTAACTAATTAAGTAATTGAATAATCGTTAATGGAGTCTATAGACTCTAAAACATGCCATTTGTTGTAAGGAAAATCCACTCAGTGCAGAAACCAAGTCAAAGATGACACATATATATATATATATATATATATATATATATATATATAT